TATCGAGTCTGACACAATCTTATGACTGTCCAAACGTTTCATTAATGATTTTAATATAAATCGACTAGTCAAATATTATTTTATTTCACTGTTTTCTTTTTTTCCAAAAGAACCATGTACAACTGTTTACAGAGAACACCTGTATTTGGTGACATTTAGTTTGTACACGATATCTTCATTTCGTCATAAAAGCTTTTGTTTTACAGAAACAATAAACAGGATAAATATAGGTTCGAACTTGTGGAAATTTTAAACAGCTTTCTTATAATTACCATGTCTTGGATAATAAAGTTTCAGCTTTCGGAAGCTAAATAACTACAGCACGTGAACATTTGACAAAATATCCGCAGGTGGTAGAAACAAGAATCCTTTTCGCACAATAAAAACCATATACCGAGTAAAAGACAGCAAAGTATATCTTTCAGATGAAAAAACATCATCCGAATCGAAATTTGAGATAAATGACAATTATATTTTACGAAATTATTTTTAAGAGGAGCTTTATTGCATAAATAAATGAAGAAGTTGATTAATTTAATTTGTATCCTTAAATTCTCTTCATTCGACGCGTTATGGGGTGTAATGAAAAATTAACAAGTTGTAGCGTGCGCTGTAAAACGGAAGCGTTTGACCAACGAGTGAAACCAGTGATTTCGTGGAAATCGTGTTTCGATCAGGATGCAGAGCCGATTTCTCGAACGATGCACAGCTCGAAGTGAATCATCGGGCGTGCTGCACGTGGAACAAAGTTTCTATCACCTACATACCTATTTGTCGGTGTGTGTGACAGGAATATTTTATTCGCGATACCCGTTCAAATTGTAACTACCCGCAATCCTATTCATTCACGATGTTTTCTATTTACCTGGGTGAATGAGTTAATACTTCGTCGTCAAAATGGTGCTCCATATAATTAGGATGAGCTATAATACTTTTAAGATGGTTAAAGATGGAAAAAATTGAGTGATATTAGGTGATGATTTACTTATTCTCAGTGATCGCTACATTTTTAAGTTAAAACATCATTTTTTGCGGTCAAACAGCACTGTGTCGACCAATACAATAGAAAAACGTTAGAGATACAGGTGTCAGCACAAGTCGACTATCAATTGTCTAATATTAATCAGAAATATTATCAATAGATATTAATACCGTCTCTGCAGGTTTTGGCGTTATTTTCGTATCATCTTCAAGATGATTCGGAAATTGCAGTATAATTGAAAAAAGAGGTTATTCTAAGAAAACCTTGAAAGAGATAAGAAAGTAAATTTCATATAAAAGCTTTCATTTTTGAGAAAATTGAATGAAGAGGTAGTTTCCATGAATGGAAATTCGAATAATTGATGCTCTACTGTGTACAACCTTATTTATTACGAAATTACACTTAATTTTCAATAATCTGATGCAAAGCAATAGTCATTACCGAGAATTCAAGCAAGAACTTGATTGAAAATTAAAAGGCTATTTGTTAGACTGTCAACGAAAGTACTGAAACTTATCGCCTTATGCAAGATGCGAGAAAATTTTGCTTTCCAAGAATATGTTGACTGACAAATCGACGTCTAGTTTTCTTGAAAACGATAATTCAAGCGTTCCCGAGGAATTCCAAGGAAAAAACGTTAATATTGCAGACACGTACTAAACGTGCTCGAAGTGAGCTTAAACGCGCTCGCGGACGTGTTTCGTTTCAGAATTCAACGGTTCGACCAGTCATTCACCTCGCAATTAGATAATTTAATTGTCTTGTGTACACATTATAAGCATCGTTAGGCTTTGCTTTGATATTCACTACGCTTCTTTATTAATTTCGATACGATTTTTATTTTCTAAATATTTCTTATGCAATAATTTGAACCTTTCAGGCATATTTATGATTAAAATTATGAACATTATTTATTTTGCAATGTTTCGTTTCACTTTGCGATCCTCTGCATCAGTGTTTCCATTATTTCTGGGTAACTTGCGTCACTGTTTTTCAGAATTCTCTATTATTATTCTGCGTCAGTACTTTGATCAAGAACAATTATTCAGAAGATAAATCGGTGTATAAAATCAATACTAAAAAAGAAATTGAAACGCGTCTCACGCGTGAATCGGATTAACCCATTAGAGACTAATCAATGAAATAATTAAATAATTCACCAACTTCAATTTTTGCCACATTCCACTAACTCCTGACTAATGAAAATTGAACGGAACCAGCATGGAACGTTTCAATCGCCTTCCAATTACAACTTAACGATCCAAGAACCTTTCCAAACCTTCAGATATTTATCTATTTACTTAGCTGCAATTACAAGCGGAAAAGCTTGAAATGTATTTACAGCGAGCGACGATAATAGTATTGACGGTGAATCGAGAGGCACCGGCGTGTCGCATCGGAGGAGCGATTATTTTCCGGGCGATGATGAATAATCAATTTCACGTCTAATACAATTAGTCTGGCCGCGCAAACGAACCGCTAATGGCCATTCGCGTTATGGAAATTGGCAAAAATCCAGGTGGTGTATTCAAAGCGTGATTTCGCGTAGGCAAACTTGTATGTTAATTCGAGGGCTGAACCCTCTCGTGGTATGTCTACGAACAGAAGGTGTGCCTTCGATAACACGATCCAAGAATTTCAGGCTACTTTTTCGATTAGAAACAATTGAGAAGTCGAAACGATAATTTATTACTTTTCAACGAAAGTGGATGCGTTTACTTGGTCTCGTGAGGCCACGCTTCTTCTCGTTAATGTTTCCTCGAGGTCGACGTATCGACCACCCTGTCGGAAAGGAAGATTCATCTGTGGAAAATGCGAGTTCACCGAGAAAATCGAAAGTCGGAAATTATAGCCGGGTCTGCCGCGATGTCTGCGAGTCATCCTCAAGTTTCCTTGATGATACTCGACGAAGAAGAGGTAAACAGGCATGATACTCGACAAAGATCATTACCCGGCTGCGGATCTCTGAGGTACTTTCTATTTAATCACATCGCCACACACGCGCATCTATACACGTCGCGGTCTATAACTATATTTTCTCGACTACGAGATTGCGTATTTGCCTTGCCAACGTTGCACTATATAATTTATTGCGCGGATTAGTTGAAACGTGCAGTCTAGGGATGATGGACAATCCGAAAAATCGGGATGCACTATTTCGGGACCGGTGCACGGTAGGAGAAGATGAATTAATGCCCGCAGAAAATCCATTCTTATGATTTTATGCATTGGAAACAACGTTAAATTGAAAGGAGTAAAATATACAAAATTAAATAACTCGTTTGAGAAACAAGGTCGCCATAAAGGTCTTCACCTTGAGGATATGCAGTCAATCTGGTAGATGGTATGTGTGAATTGCGTTGTAAATTAAACTATAAAATAACATTTCCGGTGATTTTAAATGTGATTAAATCAATAATATTCTTATAATTTATTGTATTTAATTTGTTTTAACCAGACTGTAGCTATTACTTCGTTTATCTCTTAAATAGTATTTATATTGTGCATTCAAAATGTAGAGTATAATATAATAATAATGAAAACTATAAGTACCGATGTCCAAATATTTCTGTAATCGACTGTACATGGGGTCTTAAATACATTTGTGACGATTTCGATAAAATCATTATATTTCATAATAATAATCGTATTACAAAAGACTGTTTTTAATAAAATGAAGAACATCGAATGGTGATTAAGTAGTTGTGTGTATGTACATCGTGAGATCGTTTCGTCCAACTCTGGAGTATTTCATTGTCGAGTCCCGAAAAAGGCTCGACTGTAAACAAGAGCTGGTGCGGACTTGCGAATCCATACATTTTTTCACTCGAATACCGTCGAAATAATAATTGCAGCCAGACGCGAAGCGAACCAGTTGGCATCAATGTACCCGGACCCCGTGCGCCTCGATTTCACAATTACGTGGCCGTAAAGTGGACGCCGTGGACCAGTGGTCAACCGTGAATGGTCCACACTCTCGCGCGCACCTTTCACGAATCTCCTTGTCCTGCTGCGTCCTGTTTTCGTCCTGGCCAACTTGCCTTATCGGCTGGCCGCTTATGCGTTCTCCGATCACTTCTTGAGTGGCTCGCTCTCCTTGCACGGCTCGCGATAAAACGAAGATTTTAGGTGCTGTCCGAACCAAGGCCGGCCCAGCCCGGCTTTCCTTAGTTACGGCCTAAATTATAATTAAACTTATCTGCAACGCGAGACCCGGGTCCCGGTAATGAGAAAAGACACGCGTTGATTCCTACAAAGACTTTGATGTTTTTCGTCTGACTCTTCGGGATTATTGTTTTCATCGACGTCTACGTTTCCACGTTTTTTCGCACATATTTTTGCATTAATAAGGAAAAGATTAGGTATTGGGATTAATGATGTACGGTCGTGACTAATATGTTGGGGGTTCCCGACTATTCGATTTATTAGCAATCGCATGGAGACACCTTGTACCCGCTATGCCAGTCGGATTTGCTACGGTAACCCACTTGATGGCGGGAGACATTTCTGAAATGTCACACCGACGCGACGCGGCGCGGCGCGGCACTGCGGCCGTAAGTCAATGACAGTCTTTGCCACGGGTCACCGTTTCCCGTGCGAACCAGTCAAAGAAAAATCTGTGACCACGGTAATCAACTCTCCTACACTGTGGTTAATTAATTTTTCAATTGACTAGACAACAAGTCGACCCGTAAATGACATTTTACCATGTATACTTCGCCACGGTTTCATTATAATTTTTCCTTTATCTTCTTTTCCTTAGCAAAAATTGATAATACATAGATAGCTTCCCTTTCAGGGATTTTTATTCCTGGTTTCTGTTATACGGTGCTCCATACCTCATTCCCATGACACTTGCAGTGAGTTTACTTATTTCGCGCTTCGTCGCCTTTTTCCTCTTCCTTACATTCACCATGGTCCACGAATTTTTGGTATTATTTTATGTGGGTATCGTTTGTTTCATACCGGATTTCTTTTTATTACCTACTTTTAACGATATTTTCCTCTTTCCTTATAGAGAAAGAGATGTGTCACTGCTAACAGGCTGTTGAAAATTGAACAGGAAGCGAAGAACATTTCAGCCGAAAATGGATTTAATCTTAAATCTGCGTTGACACGAGCTGACAACTTGACAAGGATGGAACAAGGTTTCTCAGGAAATGCATAATTCAACGACGGTGCGATGTAACGCATTTGTAATTACTTTCCTCTCTGACGCCCACGAAAATTATTCATTGATCGCGTTTGCGTGTCATCGTGAATTATTTTTAAGTCACTTGCATGTGACACGTTTCCTTTTTTTTCTCGATTAAAAAATTCTTGTGCTATTACGTAAAGTTTAGATGGGAATAAAATGAATCTTGTCTATAATTACCATAATTAGGTTTTTAATCCATTGTACGTTATTCTCTGCATTGCAATTTTTTAACTACATTTCGTGTGCCTATTATTATGCATCCGTTCGTCGTATTGAAATGTTTTCTTTTTAAATACATTAAGTGCATCCAGTTGGGGAACGTCCAGGAAATTCTATCGCGAAATTTACCATCGCGATATCTCTCTTCGTCTTTGTTCAACTTCTTTTTCACCGAGTACATCGTTAAATTTACGCAACTTTCTTTTCTGGTACGAGCGCTGAAACGATCCACTCAGATGGATCGTAGTAATTAGGCGCTTTTAAGTCTGATTTTTTCACCATTCATTCCCAACCTTCGCGTTCGCCTAAGACGTTCCCTCGGCGTAATGCTAAGTTAATCGTCGATTCACCGTTTATACCTATGAAATCAGGGAAACGTGACTTCAATGCATGCTCGAAATTCTCTTTTCCTCTGTAAACGTTTACTAGAGTTCGCGTTTTATGGAGAGCCGTCGGAACAAATCGTCGAACGGAACGTAAGATTAGAATCCTGTGCACGATTCGATCTTAAATCTCAAGTTTATCGTTTTGCCTTGTTAGAAAGGGAAATACTTACCGGTGAGAATATGGTTCAAAGCAAAAAAGGGTAAACGTTCCCATTAGTCACCAATCGTTTATTTTATTATATTGAAAGTGGTAGATAAACGAACACTATTACTATTTCTTTTCTTTTTATATAGATTATTACCTTATTAAACTTTGATTTTCTTAGTATTGAGCCCCTCAATTTCGTTGAGCACAAAAATCTGCTTACTAATAAATTGCAATTAACGCATGATTGTCCATAAGAAAATAATCTCCCTTTTCTGTTTTATGTCGTCTCCTTTCGGACTTTATTTCTTTTAATCGAGAATTTATGTCAGGATAACTTGCAGCGGTTGAATAATTCGAGACAAGCCGCAAGCTTGCCCCTCTCAATACTGGATTTCGAGATCTTCTGTCGAAACCAAACGAGAAAACTTAACAAGGAATTCTGTAGCTTTCAGAAGCACTGCCTGTGGTACGGAATAAATACGTCTTCTCGTTTTGACATCGATATTCTCGATATCAGGAAAAGAAGGTATAGGGTGACGCAAAAGTCGTGAAAGGGTTTGAGAAATCAATAAACTTCTTTAACCCTGAATCATTTTTATTTTCCTACTCTACGCTTATGTGGTTCGTGACTTTGTCTTTTAATATAAGAATATTATAATTCAATTGGAAATACTTTTCTGGTAATAGTTAACTTAAATTTAGTCACAATTCAAACTCATTGATAAGCATTTTATAATTTATAGTTTAAATAAATGTTAAATGTTTAAAGTCGATAATTGGAGGGGTACGAATAATTCAACAACTCATTGTATATGTTTCAAACGCTAGAAATTGTTAAAATTGAAATGGGGTAGTACTTCCCTTGTAAGTTACTCTCACGAGGCTAGAAATCCTCGTTAAATTGGTCTGCCTGTTAGACGCGAGGTGTATTCATGCATTCGAAATGAAACGACGAACGCATTTTCCGAGTTATATCAATTAGGATATCAATTGCCTGACTAGATTTTCCTTTTTAAGGTTCGAGGATAAACTCTTCTACTGTACGTCCTTGCGACTCCATTCGCCGCGCCGGCATACGAATGCTTCTGAATTTGAGAATCGTTTTGCTCTCGAATAATGCAAATTGTTCCTTAAACTTCTTTTTATATACAGTTCTTTTCAATTTTCTTCAAACATATTATATGTCGGTATTCGAGAGATTCGATATCAAAGTAATCGATTCACCGATCGTTGACTCGCACTACTGTACCCGCAACGCATCTTACGAGGAGAACTTCCCAAGTATTACGCTCACTAATTAATGAAACTTTGCCATCTTCACCTTGAACTCGTTGAGCTGAACACGTCTATGTTTCTTTTTTCAGCAGACGGCTAATTGTTTAAAAGATATTAACAATTCAAATTAGTTAATATATATATTCTGAAATACAAAACACTCCTATAAAAACGATTACTTTTGCGATTGAACAGATAACTGGAAATCAAAAGATTTACAGTTAAAATCCCGGGATCCTATTCTTTTCTTCTTTCTTTTTCTTTTAATAATACTTTGTTTCTTTTTAACATCTATTACAGCTACGCTACAGTCGTTACGTTTATTAATAATACATTAATTACGTTGAATTTGTTAGAAAATGTAAATTTGTTCTATTATATAGTACGAACAGTAACATCGTTACGGTAGGGTGTAATAAAATAATACACATTTATTTTATACATTCTATTTATTACTTTTAACCATTTTTTACAATTTTCGTTTTGATCTTATTTAATTACATTATTTACAATTTTGCTCTTCATAATGTTTATTATAAATATGTATTGTAATATAAATATATGCAACACTACATGTACGATATATGCATCCCATCATAAGGTAGCTGGCTGCGGCACCGTTATCAACCGTTCGACGTAGAGCGCAGTGGAACATCATCAGTCTTACAGCGACCGCCGAGGAGTGCAGATCTACCTGCTAAACATACAGGACCACAAAGATGCCGTTCAGGGCCTTGCACTCCCCGCCACCTGGGTGGATGCCTGGGAGTAGATGGAAAAGTTGCATATACCCGAACGGGTGAGGTGGCATATCTGCGCTTGTCATCGGACGGCCAGATTGATATTAAACTGTTAAACATACATATACCCATATTTTATTTTCTGCGTTCATTTAATTTGCTCTGTTTATCTTTTTAACTTATTGAATAAACTCATTAGGAAGACAAACGTGTTGATTTTATTACCCCCGTGTGCATCCTTTACATCCTTTACATTTCTGCACCCCTTATAAACCTGCATTATTTACCTCCCAGCATTCCTTACATCACTGCGTCCTTTACATCTCTACTTTCTTTATATCCTTGCATCCTTTAGACCTGTATCACCCTTACATCTCTGCGTCCCTCACATCACCGTATGCCAAACATCCCTCTATCGTTTACACCTTTTTATCCCTTACACTCTTCAATCCTTTACATCTCCCTATCCCTTAAATATCTATTCCTCTTACAACCCTGCTTCCCTTATAGCCCTGTATCCCACAAATCACTCTATACCCTACAATCTACGTCCCTTTATCACTTACATCCTTGAAATTATGCTTTCGGCGGTCGTAACAGCGCCCTCTAGTGGCAAAAATTTGAACTTAAATCCCGACCTCGGATCAGCGCCATCTGGTTTTAAAAAAAGGAACTAAATCACGCGGAGATTTTGGCCCTCTAGCGGCAAAAATTTGAACTAAAATCCCGACTTCGGATCAGCGCCATCTGGTTTTAAAAAAAGGAACTAAATCACGCGGAAATTTTGGCCCTCTAGCGGCAAAAATTTGAACTAAAATCCCGACCTCGGATCAGCGCCATCTGGTTTTAAAAAAAGGAACTAAATCACGCGGAAATTTTGGCCCTCTAGCGGCAAAAATTTGAACTAAAATCCCGACCTCGGATCAGCGCCATCTGGTTTTAAAAAAAGGAACTAAATCACGCGGAGATTTTGGCCCTCTAGCGGCAAAAATTTGAACTAAAATCCCGACTTCGGATCAGCGCCATCTGGTTTTAAAAAAAGGAACTAAATCACGCGGAAATTTTGGCCCTCTAGCGGCAAAAATTTGAACTAAAATCCCGACCTCGGATCAGCGCCATCTGGTTTTAAAAAAAGGAACTAAGTCATGCGGAGATTTTGGCCCTCTAGCGGCAAAAATTTGAACTAAAATCCCGACCTCGGATCAGCGCCATCTGGTTTTAAAAAAAGGAACTAAATCACGCGGAAATTTTGGCCCTCTAGCGACAAAAATTTGAACTAAAATCCCGACCTCGGGTCAGCGCCCTCTGGTGGTAAAAAAAGGAACTAAACAAGATGTAATTATACCATTAATGCAGGGATATAAAAGATACTGGAATATAAGGGATACCGGGATGTAAGGAATTTAGGAACATAAGGAATGCAGAGATATATGAAGTGCTGGGTGTAAGGGATTCAGGGATACAAAGGATACGTGGATACAGTGATTTGGGAGTAGATCCTACAAGGTCGATGAAAAGAATGAAAAAACTAAATAACTGCAAAGGGGAGCCTTGGTCCATAAAGAGTGAGAATAGGATAAACAATAACTGGGAAGGGTGGTCCCGCGAGGCCCATAAAGAGAAATAAAACAATAAATAATTAAGAAGCGTGGATTTGTCCCATAAACGAAAATAAAATAATTAATAACTGAAAAGGGTGGACTTTAGTCCATAAGGAAGGATAAAATAATAAATAACTGGAAAAGCTGAGGCGGAGCTCATAAGGAAGGATAAAATAATAAATAAAAGGGGTGTTTGGCCGAGGCTTAGAAGAGAGATAAAATTATAAATTTTATTCCTCTTTGATGAGCTTGTTAATAAGAGGAAACAATAAATAAAGTTAATTAAATAAACTCCGAAGGGAAATTAGAAGTATATATATGTTTGATAGATTTATCCGCACCCCTTGGCGGTCGCTGTAAGACTTAGGAGGTCGCACCTCGTTCTAAGTCAAACTTCTCATATTGGGAAGTAATTACTGTATATTCTGTTTGTAATTTATTAAAGATCAAACAGTTGTTTTATATATAAATAACTGAGAAACGAAGTTAAGTACATTGAATAACTAAAATGCTAGAAGAATTTAAGACAATTGAATAAATTGCTGAGAAAAGAAATTACGAGCATTAAATAAATAACTCAGAAATGAAATTGGGTAAATTAAATAATAACTCAGTTGAAGTGAATACAAGTTTGTCAAACAATTACAATAACAATTGTTCAGTTTTGTGCTGCTTTTGACTGATTTAAAAAAAAAAATTAGAATCAAAGGGAGTGAAAATTGAGTCTTTCCAGATGACAGTTTGAGGTCCGATAAAAGAGTGACTCGTAAAACAGGCACGATTATTATACTGGCTGTGCTCTCTGCATGCAGATCTAATTTCATCTGGGGGTGTCTGGGACCCCCTGAATCATGACCCCTCGAAAACAAAGGCATGTCCAGTCTTGTACATCTGTAGTCACTGCTGACAGTATGTATGAAGAACCATACTATAAAACGTACTAATATACCCAACTGTTTCAACGTTCCTAATAATTTCAATACGTAAGTATATACCTCGAAATCTCACATGAAATGAACAACTCAGTCGGTAAAGAAAAGTGTCGCTCGATTACTAGCGCCATGTTCAAATCATGCAATTCATTCGAACGACTGTCGTCGATAATAGAGACAACTACAACTTACCACATCCGCGACTTCTCTTGCATTTATGGTCGCCTGATCACTCTATTCTTCTGGTAGTGGCCGCGCGAGTCTGTTTTCTGCTTTTCTTGCGCAAAACCCAGTTTAACCCTCCGATGATAAACGCTAGGTCATTCGAGGCTCAGCCTTAAATCTGTCTTATATCGAGTTGATATTATAATATTTAAATGACACTATAATATACAGTAATGATACTTGTTGAATGCAAGGGCATTCAGGTTCCTTTTGCAAATTTTTTTTAGAAATTTTAGGTGTAAAATTCGCACTCACTTCTTAACAAAGAGGAATCTGATGGAAAAGGAGCTATCCCACCGTCAAAAGCTTAACTAACACCTCCGGTAATTAAAGTTCAAAGCGCATGGACGTTCAGGTGTTAGTTGTAAGTAGACATGCAACGATACTTGATAATTACTCGAAGATAACAACGTTGATAAGCGTCTAACAACTCGAGCGTGAGCAAAGCATTAAAAAACCGGTGTTATCTTAAATTACACTTGACCTCTTTAAAAGACAAGAATCTCTGTTCTTCAACTATTTCCTGTTTTACATGTTTCTTTTCTATTTCAACTTTTAATTAGCTTAGTACACCATTATCGTGATGGATTTATTTTACTCTTCTACTTTCCACATTAAATTCAATCAAGAAGTTATGAAAAATAGAACTACTTCCAAATATATGATCACAAAAGATTAAAATATTCACAATTTATTGGGTACTGTCTCGTTTGATATAGGTTTTACTTTCTCTCCAATTATTAAACAAAATAATTTGCGAGAGGCTCTGGGTATAATTTTCGATATTATCTTCTCAAGAGTGAGTAATAAGAAAATCACGCGAATTAATTTCAGGTCACTTAAATTACGTTCTACCACGAACAAACTGTTTATTAATATCGACACAGGGACCACATAATTTACTTTATGCATATTTTGAGGCATGAACAGTCTGGCTCTTTTAATAAAGATGCGAGAAGCTACATCCATAATTCATATTCTTCTTTCATTTCAAGGATAAGTTGTTTTATTTTCTCCTTCAATTTCGCACTTTTTTCTCTGTTGCCCTTACCTTTCTATTTTCTGTACCTGAACGTAAGAGAAACTCGTACAAATATTATTCTCCATTATACCTACTGAAGTGTTGGAAAATTCTAATTATCAAAACTTATGGTTCTGTTAATCATCTAATAGTATAATAATTTAAAGTAAATGGTAACTAGTAATAAATATTCGATCTGATATTTTGATTTTATTATAATACAACTACTACTGCTTAAGTGGCTGTCATTGTGGCTCTTGTCCATCCTAATCTTCGTTAATAGGTGAAAATAACCGTGAATTTTCTGAAGATCGCCTGAATTACAACTGAGCAGTTGAAGAACGGCTACCTTGATTACTTTCAACATGAATCATAATCGATCATAAAAGTTATTTCAGAGCTGGAATCAAGTAGAAAAGCTTCTAATTGAACTGGCTCGATGATCTCGAGGGAGCGTTACATTACGGTAATTCAGGCGGCCAGTTACTCGGCTGACTCGCGGTAACAGCAATCACGAACGAATCTGCAAAAGCGTGAGCGAAAATATAAAAGCAAGTGGTACACGTCGCAGGGGTAAAGTTTCATTGCACCGATTCGATGCGTGCTACGTATGTACCTTGGTAAAACAGTATCCATAATGCATCTGCCACGCCCTGAGGAACTTCCATCGCAATCCGTAGCCGACCGAGCGCAGATTACTCCGACCCATCTCGATTCTGTTCGAATCGAGTTACCTCCGGCCCTTTTCATGCTCGATAAAAGCCTCGTTGCGTGCTAATAAACGCCAGCTAACCCCGATAGCGCTATGTCTTAGCT